TGAATTAAAAACCTTCTTATCGCATTTTATCAGACAAGTTTCGTACGTGTATTTTCAATATGGATTCGTGGATTGATGAGTCGATTTAACTACAGTACATATGAGTATTACAGATAAGTGTAAAACATATTTATTAATATACAAATTTTGATGTGTACATCAATTTGTATGAAATATAACGTTGTTGAATATACTATGTCCAATGTCAGACGTGTAAATACGCATGTCACAGCCGTTGCCAGGCGTCGTTAACATATCCACAATTTAAGTATATTGAAGATGTACTATGTAATCATTAGTTGAATGTTGAATACAAACGAAACAATTAAATCAATCCTATTAATATAATAAATGCAAAAGTTTATAAAAATAGATGGATGTTTGTTACTCTTTCACGCAATAACTACTGAACAGATTTGAATGAAATTCAGTAGACAGGTAGGTTATATTCTAACATAGCATATAGAATACTTTATATACTGATTTACGCGAGAGAAACTGCGGGATACAGCTAGTAATAATTCAATTAGACTAGGCATATTACACAGCGCCATTTGGTTTCAAACTATAGAAGTCATTAATTTTTTTAGTACACAAATATTATTTATAGAAAATATCTAGACCAGTATCAATAGTGTAGTTATGAATAGAAATGTTTGCATAATGCGGGTATTGAACCTGCGCCCAACGAATGATAAGGTGGTGCAGTAGACCAGCAGGGCCATGAAAAAAATATTTCGAAAGAAACGTAGATTTTAGAATTAGCGTGAAAACAGATCGGAAGAACACGATCTTACAGTTCACTTGGTAGATCTACATAAATGCTGTAGAATTTGGATCGACGGATGTTGTTAATAAAAATATTTAGTTGCGCGTGCGCACAGTTGCAGTAATACGTATCTCAGAGACACAAATAATAAATCATTGTAAATTATTTAATATTATAACTTCGGGGTAATAATAACAACATAGTTTCTGGGTAAAATTATTGAAGAAAATAAAGTATTCACTTTTTATTACACATTCGTTTCCATACATAACTGTATAATTTATACGTTGTACAATACTTCTATAATTGATTACAGAAACACAAACATTAAATATATTTGTGTAGTCTAAGAATATTGAAAAAGGCAATGTCCTGTTAAAAATAAAAGATTTTTTATAATCTTAATAATGGTATACATTAAAAAAAATAAACTAAAAGCAAATAGAAAATATACTATAGTTTCATGGACAAGAAAATATCTACTAACACGTAAGATGGTGCCCTTTGATGCAGAGACTTTCTAAACCATCTTCGTTGTACATTGGTATAGATCTTGGGATCTTTGACGTGATTAATCAGACGCTGACTATACGTACATTAAACAAAAAACAAATGACAATAATTTTAATTTTGATTTTAAAAATTTATAGTAAATACAATACTTATTATAGATATTACTAGAGAGAAAATTTGTACAAAAATCGTCTGATAGGAAACCTCTATGCTACTGGTGTTTCTGACGCCAAGCATCTGTGCTTGTCCTGTAAAGGGCAGGATCATCATATTAGCCGTTAACTGTCCACAGCTGAACATAGGCTTCCCACTATTGAGAGAGTTTTACTAGTACTTGCCATACTTGGCAGGTGGATTGACAACCGCAGTATAAATTTTATGATGTTTTAAGAGGGACGTTGCTGCCCATCTCTCGTCCATTAAGTTCTCTAAGTCGCCTGTTACGACACCCACGAGAAAAGAAGGAGGTGGCACATTCTATACCGAGACTACACGGCCATAGGCAAAGGGCGGTATACAGCAGTAAAATTACATACAGAATACGATTTCAATTCTCAGTAATGACAACGTATGAGGAATTATAAGCTAACGATTTTAATCTTCAGCAATGACAACGTATGAGGAATTAAAAGCTAACGATTTCAATCTTCAGTAATGACAACGTAAGACGAATTAAAAGGTAACGATTTCAATCCTCAGTAATGACAACGTAAGAAGAATTAAAAGCTAACGATTTCAATTCTCAGTAATGACAACGTATGAGGAATTATAAGCTAACGATTTCAATCCTCAGTAATGACAACGTAAGAGGAATTAAAAGCTAACGATTTCAATCCTTAGTAATGACAACGTAAGAAGAATTAAAAGCTAACGATTTCAATTCTCAGTAATGACAATGTAAGAGAAATTAAAAGTTAACGATTTCTGTCCTTTGTAATGTGGCAACGTATAAGGAATTAAAAGCTAACGATTTCAATCCTCAGTAAAGACAACGTAAGAGGAATTAAAAGTTAAAAAGTTAAAGATTTCTGTCCTTTGTAATGTGGCAACGTTTTAAAAGCAACGGAATTAAAAGCTAGTGCGTTTTGTAATTAATCTGTCACCGTTTTTAAGAAAAATATAGTTATAATTGCGTTTCGGTAACCAAACAAACATAATGTGTAGGCACCTATTTACGAGGATGATCTATTTCAGTGAGGTCGAGGGAAATCGTGGCCTTGCCAACACTAACATTTGCCGATTAGTTACCATCACGGCGAACACGCTATTTATCATAATATGAGGTCTGCTTTTGTAAAATAAACACAGTTTATTTTACTAAACTATATATTTATTTATTTTACCTAGTGAAAATTAGGTTACAGGTTAATTTGACCTTAATTATATATAGGACAAAATCAAGGACACGGGATGACACGTGCACGGGCAACACACCTACTCGTAATAATGAACGAATAAAATTCATCATAAACATTGCATTTGTATTTTTACAGTACTCGCGACCATAATAGACGATAAAAATAAGAACAATTTGGTTGATTGTTTTATTTGTTTTGTTCGCTGTTTGTCAAGTTTTTAAACTACGTCATGGAAACATGACGTCAAAGTACAGACAGGAGGTCAAATAGAATTTTTTTTTTTACAACACAGGGGGCAAACGAGCGTGCGGCTCACCTGATGGTAAGTGACTACCGCCGCCCATGGTCACCCACAACACCTAAGGCATTGCAGGTATGCTGCCGGCCTTTTAAAAAGGAATATGCTCTTTTCTTGAAGGTTATGTTGTCGTATCGGTTCGGAAATACTGCTGTTGGAGGTTGATTCCAAAGAGTGGTTGTGCGTGGGAGAAAGTGCCTTGAAAAACGCACGGTGGAGGACCGCCACTTGTCCAGATGGTTGGGATGAAATTTTAGTTTATGGCGGGTTGTACGATGGTGAAAATCTGCAGCAGGTATCAATCCGACCATTCTTCAGAAATAATAATAATCAGTTTCTTAATATCTAAAGTAGTAGAATAAAATCACAAACATTTTTAATAAAAGTGACGAGAGACTTGAGATAGTCCGTTCTCACTACAGATCATTAGTCTAGGGACTATGGAACACAATAATAATAATATCACATTAATATATATTTGCATTTATTAAAATATGTACCTATTTGATGCGATGAAGTTTCATCATGAAGTGACGAACAGTGATACAGTAACAAGAAAGTGAATTAGTAGATGCAATGATTACTCAGAAATACGTCTCTATTTCCCATTTTTGCATTGTTTACAAATCTGTGTGAATATTTGTGAAACTATTTATATCGAATATTAACTGTTACATTCAAATGTATGTGCTTGTTTATAATCGTAATACACTTGTATTATAAATTTTACTCATAACTTGTCAGGGCACGATATAATTACGCATTTAACGCGAACAAAGGCAGTTACTTCCGAGTCCCTTTTTAAGGGTTCCACGCACCAAAACAGTACAAAGAATGGAAGAAAGAACCCTTTGGTGCGACTTTGTTTGTCAGTCCGTCTGTTTCAGCGCTATATTTTAGCAACTGCTAACGCTATTTATTTGGTATAGTTTTACATATTTTAGGCCCCCACATATTGTAATGGAAATATGTAACTGAAAAAATATTTTTATTTTCTAAAATTACAAAACTAACTTACTTGTCCAACAGAAGGGTTTCCTTCTTAACACCCGCTTCATCGTTCCTCTGTTGGGGGCGGGTCTTCCCACAAGAGATTATGCCCACTGTTATTTTTTTACTTTACAGACACAGTACTCTAGTTACGAGACCAATTTGAAATTTGTTCATTCTCTGTTCAGTCAGGATTAGGATGCCTTTAAGAAAGAGACTTTGTACAAAAGTCGATTGCTTGGGTACCTCTGTCCCATTCGTGCGATTTGGCTGTGTTTGTGAATTTCTGGGTACAGAGGAATAACACCTGAATCTGTATCAGGGCTATATTTTAGAAAGTGCTAAGGCGACGGTTACCACTGTTTATTAATAATATAGTTTTACATAGTTAGTAGACATAACTGTTTACAAACGTATTTCGGCTCGAGCTTAACGACTCAACTCACTCGCACACATTGTAATGGAAAATGATAATGGGGAAAAAATATTTTTATTTTCTACTGCAGAGACAGTGGTTGCATGTGGCTCAGGACCATTCCTTATGGCAGTCTATGTGGGAGGCTTATGTCCAGCAGTGGACGAATAATGGCTGAAATTATGATAATGAATCAAAGCGGCTGGAACCGAAATCACATCGAATAGACGACTTTTTAATTTTTACAACAGAGGAGGCAAACGAGCATGCGGCTCACCTGATGGTAAGTGACTACCGCCGCCCATGATCACCCACAACACCAGCGGCATTGCAGTTGTGCTGCCGTCGAATATAACGTAAGGTGACGTTTTTTTGACGTCTCATTTAATTTCGATTGTGTCAAAGTCATTTCGCTGGTTTCGAGTACGGATTACAATATGCATAATATGGCCACTTGCCGAGTGTACGCGACTGAATTTCGTTTTTTTACGCACATAACGATTTAATTTACTGCCAACAATATAATTGCCATAGTGTATCACAATCTGTAATTAGTCGCTAAATGGTTATTTTTTTGCGGATCTCTAAAAAGTTGTACACGTAATTCAATTTAAATTCGTTCGTATAATTTCGGTAAACTAAGATTTATTCACTCACCAGTCCTTTCATTGTACGTCGATGTTTTTTCCCCATAGTTGCCGTATCTGGCGTTGCTGAGATCATCGAGTAGGGTGTCCAACTCGGACATGTTGCCGCGGCCGCCGGTCGTCCGACCATACCCGGCAGACTGTCCGGCGTTGTACCCGGGCGATCCGGCATTATATCCGGGCGACTGGCTGCCATAATTGGATTGAGAGCCGGTGTATTTCACGGGAATCACTTTTTCATGGACACCACTCGTGTTCTGGTAGGTGGGCTGAGGACAAAGAAATAAATATATATTTTTTATCCAATCATCAGCATCATCATATCAGCCATAAACTGTCCGCTGCTGAACATAGGTCTCCCTTTGGGAGGAGGTCCACGCTTGGCAAGAGAGTTGGCAACTACAGTTAGGCTTTGATGATGTTTTAAGAGGCTTTAATATAAAATAATATATCCTATAGCTAAGATTATTTTACTTAATGTCCGTTCTATTTTCAGAGAGATCAATAAAAGATTTAACAAATCGAAACTAAAATTTGGAAATTGGAACCAACACATGTTCACAGTTTATGGATTTATTTTCATTCTAACAGACTCAAGTCTTGTTAGCCAGATTTACACTATTGAAGTCTAGACATTTACAAGGATTTACTGAAGCCAATTACACGAATCTATTTTTAATGCAAGTGATGTCTGTAGAGGCGATAGCTATATTTACCTAGTAAGTAAATATGTAGTTTTATTGATCATCTTTCAATCCTGGTTTAAAATCACCAAATAATTAGAATAAAAATGCATTTCAACTGTGAGATGATGCAATAAAGGACATAACGCTACGGATCCCTTTGGTCTTCTGAAAGCTTAGATTATAAACCTCTAGACAGTCTCTACATAGACACATTAATAAAAACATTTCACTATCAGACGAGGCGTATGCTTGTTTGCCCCCTTCATAATATTAAAAAAAGGTCAACTTTTTTTTTCATGTGTATGTTAACATATATATTAATTACTAAGTAGTACAAATTTATATAACAATGTAAATTACAGGAAAAATAATGTTACATAATATTAATTTTAATGATCGTCCTTCAATTGTAACAATATTTTTAGCTTCAGTGATTATAGTTGATAAAATTGTGACATCTATTGGACACAGCGTCGTAACTTTATTGGATAGATTCCTGCCAGCATTGTTTTTAATGACTGTAACTAGATGGCGTTGCTATTCAATATTTATATATAAACCGAAATATATCTTTATAATTAATCACATTACATGCGTCGAAAAGAAAAATAAAACTAAAAACAAATTTAAAACACTTTGCTATTAAAAAATTCATATTATATTTTATCCCATCCAGAATTAGTTAAAAAACAAAGAAACAAATTCATATATGAATATGTAATTTCAAAATTTTTCAGAAGAACCAAAACGGGAAAAAATACTAGAAATTAACTGAAGATAACACGGCTGTATAGACGTAGTCCTTTTGCATTCCCTATTGATGAGGAAAACAGAATGAAAAAGAAAAGAAAAATTTACATTATAATATGTATTTATTTAAGTAGGTACCAGATAGTCCTCGTTATCACACCTATAATGAACCGTCCAAGAACAAAATATGTATTATCACATATATTTCTTATCGTGTACAGATATCTCACGTAATTAACGTATGTAATTCTTATTATCAATTTACATATTGCAACTGGAGACGCTTGTTAAATTGTATAGGTATAATGTAATTCCAAGATCAAACTAAAACCGCCACAACTAAACCTTGCCCTACAATTCACACAAACAGCACGGGTACGTTCTACGTACAGTGAACAAATAATAATTGATGGTCGAGATTACAATTTACCTCATAGAAAATGACAATACTGATAAACAGCAGATAGTGGAGTTGCATTTTTGAATATTTGAAACGAAACATCTGATGATCATTCAACGAGAATGATAAGTTTTTTACATTACTACATTAATTATTTACTGCGCATGAGCATAGGAGTAAGGAATAACGGATATATATTCTTATGGGACGGATCTATTCTCATCATATTCAAGAAGCATAAATTAGCTCCCCTTCTTTTCTCGGGTATGTTGTAAGAGAGGCGATTAAGTGAATTGAACGGTCGAGGGATGGGTAGCAGCATCCCTCTTAAAACACCACCAAAACCTTACTGCGGTTAACAACCCGTCTGCCAGGGGGAAGGACTATATATCCAACCAGATCGACCTCCACGCAGTCTTCCCTGGAAACTATCGTGATTAATTCCTGATGAATTCACCATGATGGGCTAACTGACCTGCGTTTATTCTCATCTATCATCTATCACTGGTGCCCCACCAGCATATTCCGTTAGCGCAGACGGGGTTGCTGTTCAATTTTCAACATAAAAAGACCCGTCTGCGAAGCATGGTATCTTTTGGAAATCTTTATGGAGGAGGTCTATGTTCAGCAGTGGACAGTTAATAGTTAATGGCTAATACAATAATAATAATAAATGGGTTAGGCATACTTATTACCCATATTTCTGCTCAAGTGATTTTGTATAACGATTCTTTTCGATTTTTCCTTATTTTGTAATTTTTTCTTTATTACCTCCTATATTGAGAATAATAAAATGAGAAGATAAATTGTATTCTTATTCACAAGTGTCGCAACGAAAGGGAAATAAATTATTAAATAATTAAATAGCTCCTTCAAGTATGTCGTTAAATTATTTGCGACGGCCTCAAAAGGGAAGCGAGGCAATGTAAAATATTGTCAACTGCTAAAACGTATTTACTAAAGGGAAAAGCAAAAGCGTATGATAATTATTAATTTGATTATAAAGGTATAAAGGCATCATATAGTTTAGATATGTAATTAGTAACCCTTGGTGATAATCCTTAGTAATATTATGAATGTGATAGAGACTTTGTTGCTAGGAATATACGCTGTTCCTCTTGGAAACCATCGTGGTTAATTCTAATGTACTAATTCGTTACAATGGACTAAATGACCTTTCTTTCTTCGTCACCTATCATCCTTCACTGCCTAGTATCCTTCTAGCGTATACCGTTAGAGCAGACGGAGCGACCATTCCATTATCATCCATTAAAAAAACATCCATGTGTGTAAGAGAAGGATATAAGGCTACTTTTTATCCTGGTCGGTAAACATATCCGGTAACTTGGAGGAAGTCGCTGTTAAAAGTTAGTTCGAATATATATTTAAAATAAAAAACAATCTTCTACAAGTTTTAGAACCGTGGATATGTGTTATTTATATTTAAAGAGAAGTAAGTAATGTTAAATGTGAAATAAAAGAGGGAGACTTTGTACAAAAGTCGATTGCTTGGGTACCTCTGTCTCATTCGTGCTTCAACCGTGAAGCAGTTGTGTTCGCATGGCTGTGTTTCGGTTTGTAGGGTGGGATATGGCGTGAATTTACTAGGTACAGAGGAATAACACCTGAGTCCTCACGGATGGCAACGCATGGGGGGTATCATGGACGAAACAGTATACTCTGTTATGTCCATGGTACCGCTCAAGTCTATAGGCGACGGTTATCACTTTCCATCAAGTGGGCCGTCAGATTGTTTGCCATTCTAAGTTGTATAAAAAAAAATTCGTAGTCGAAATTTGATAATAATAAAACATTTCTATTACAATAGTTGAAGTTTAACTATAAATAGCAAATTAGTAATCAACTGATAAATGTCCATGTCAATTAAATAAACAAACGAGTGAATGTGAAGACTTCATGAAAGACAACTGATTAAAGAGGTCAATGACAACGTCGGCGCAAGACTAATACATCTATCTAGTTCAAGTAAATTTACAATAAGACAGATGCCAGACAAATTGTATTAGCTTGAAATATTTATTGAATTAAACTGAACAATATAAACAAAGGTGATGTTGTGATGATGAGTCTTTAATATTTTAAATATTTTACTAAACTAGGTGTTATTTTGCGGAAATACTTATCACTAAATAGTTTATTGGGGGGAAAGGGATTGTTACTGATGGAGACTGAGAATCCCATTGCTAGCAATATACCCAACCAGGTCGACCTCCTCGCGGTTCTCCCTGGAAACTATCATGGTTAATTCCTGATGAATTCATCATGATGGGTTAACTGGCCTGTTTTTATTCTCATCTTCTCTATCACCCCTCACTGGTGCTCCGCCAGCGTATCCCATTAGCGCAGGCGGGGTTACCATTCCATTTTCACCCATAAAAAAAAAAATAGTTTATTAGAATTATTTTGTTTAATTCCGCTACCATTAGTATGAGTACGACTGTTAACACTCGAAGATTGGCTACATTTATTATTACCAGAAGTTCTATGACCTTCCATATTAGCTATCAATCTCCGACTGTCATCATTTTGCGGCACGTGTTTTATCTTTAAACAAGGCATCTAATGATCAAACGGTTAACACTAATCTGTAGGCAGTGATCTATTAATTTGCCTGAAGATGCCTCGTTTAGAGGTGAAACGCAAAACCTGCGTGGACGGAATGGTAGTCGGATATTGGCGGCTAATATGGAAGGTTGTACAACTTCTAGCAATAATAATAACAGTCAATCTTCAAGCGTTGACTGTCGCACTCATATTCTAATCTACTAACCGGTTATTCTATATATTTTGTTTTTAATATTTCCTCATATACCTATGGTACACTACACTGGTAAAGCAGTGTGATCTAACGTCATGAAATTGCATATGTATATATGCATGCATATAGCTACGCAGTATTTGGAATAGAAAAGGAAATATCTGCTTTTAATCCCAAACAATCAAATATGTTTTAATTCACGTTTTACGCGGATAAAGTCACGGGTATAGCAACCATACAAATAAAAAAAAATTATACTTAACAAAATTCTTTCTTTTCCGATTTTTTTCTTTATAATTTGTTTTCAAATATCTAATTAATAAAAGTTTAATTATATACATAATATTTAGTTTACAAATTAAATATTTTATTATTATTAAATTCCAAAATGTTAGTGATAATTTATATTGCGGATAATACAATGAAGTGAATGAATTTTAAAAAATGACACAGGATGCCATGTTCTCTAAATTTTCTAGAAATACGATCCTATGCATTAAAGATACGGAAGTTTAAACAGATATGCCAAAGTTAAGGCTTTTGGGCACTTGGTCACAAACTTTAAACTGACATTGACTTAGTGAGTAACCAAATCGGTCGATACATTTTCTGATGTCACAATTGCGTTTATTGACGTTGTTAAATAGCGTAAATATACTCTGATATATTAACGACTTATTTATACTAATGAAATTAATGAATCATCAATTTGAGCGTTCATAACACGCATTACAACAATAGTAGTGACAAAAAGGTACTTAAAAATAATGGCGTCCGTAGTTCTAAAAGGATAAATAAAGGATGGCTTTAAAAAACCTACAAATCTGATTGCCTATTCCTCCTAAACACATAGGATATACTAATATTTAGTAGATTAGCTTTGTTCTTTACATTGCCCTGGGAGAAATCCGAAAGACAACACAATTACGAAAGTGTGTATATGAAGAACTTACTGAAGAAGGTTTAATATAATCCGAGCTGATATTCCTCGATCCATTAATGGAACCGTATCCGGTCGAAGTAGGCGAACTGAGACTACCGCCTGGCGAGCTCAGTCGTCCTGGAGAGCCCCTGCCGCCTGGTGAACTAGTCCTGCCAGGGGAAGTGGTACGCCCACCCGGAGACCCGGTACGACCGCCTGGGCTGCCCACACGACCGCCAGGATGGATGGAGTTCTGCAGGTCAGCAAGTAGGGCATCTGTAATGAAGGAAACAGTTACGGTTACTAACGTACATCGAGTCATATATGGATCTCGGGTGTGGTTCAAAGGTGTAAATAAAAAGAATTCATTATCTTAGTAATAATAAATTTTATTTTGGACTTTTTGGTCCATTAAAATTTATTCGTTACAATATTCTTAAAGCTATTATATTATATATTATATTATTTTATATTTTTTTAAAATAACTCTCACTACAAATTTTAAATTATTTTTGCTTGCTTCAAATTTATTCATAAGATTTCAGACTAGGAATGATGAAAAAACTGATGACCCACCAGATATAAATTGGTCAACGTCGTAGAAAGGCATAAAGAGCAGCAATGGACATAAAGAGACCCCATTTTTTTTTTTCTTATACAAGGAGTTCCTAGACTTACTCCCGCGATCTAATAGCATTTGACAGAACGATGTATGATAGGTCAGCTAGTTAGAATATAATTAATCAACCGAAGAACTGACACCAATATCACAAGATTGCGAACAAAAACCACAAATGCAACGTGATGGTTCACAATATTACAATTGTTTCTGTCTGAGTTTACTCAATGACATCATGTTTGTTAAATGTGCCATTTTAATTGGCTGCAATAGAGGCGACGCCACTTCATGTCGGTATCATTAAATAAGACTTGTATTAATTTAAAGTAAACTACATCAAAATATCCATTAATGAAACTTGAAAGAGATGAAAATAAAACTTCTATTGACTTATCGCCTATCGCACAAACATACATATCCTCACGTTCACAATTCCAAGAAAGCATAGATATAGGCTGATCTCATTGATTTTGCTTTGTATATTCTATACAGGATTGAGCATGAGGTTGAGGCCAATTCTAAAATGTATTTCTTTAAAACTCAAATAAAGCGTACAAGAACGAAGATAAATATTTTTAAAATGAACTTAGGGCAATTATAATTCAGAATAGGTCCCGTAATTTTAACGGCCTTATTCATAACAATCTATTTATCTGATATATAAATAGATCTATGGGGAACATTTTGAAGAGCATCAATTCATTATGGTAAATATTCAATTACAAAAGGTATCTACAAAAATTATGACGCAATACAAAAAAAAAACTAAGTTTTTATGTTGAAAAAACGAAAGACTTATATAATATAGAGAGTAAATATATTTACGTAACGCCCCATAAGGGATAGACAAATTGGTACTCGAATTAGAAATGTCAATATTTCAAGTCTAAATATAACAGTAAGCGTAAGAAGTGAAGGATTATAATTAATATCCTCATTGCTACTTAAAATATATCCAACAGAATAAAGAGAAAGAGAGAGAGAAAGAGATAATGGAGGTTCCCAGACTAGATACATTTCATACTTTACCTATAACTCTCTAAATCCTATAGTGTTAACATCAGCGAACAAAACATTGCCCATTTAAACTAGTTTAAGATCATTCAATAAAACTTTATTCATATTATCCGAATCTTATTTAGTATTGACGTCCTTGAACACGTTTGCCTAAACTAGTTTCCTTTTTGGGAGGGTTCGTTGACACCCACACTGGTGCACATCCAGGTAACAAAATAACAAGAATCAAAATTAAATACAAATGATTAATCATTACCAAATTCCTCATACGCAACTTACACAACCTCTTATCGGACATCAACTTTGTTGACATATTACAACTTTTCAACAATGATAAGAAAATTTGCTCAAAAGACACTGTGCTCCATAGGATGAGATAAAATGGATTTCATTTTAACAACGAAAGAGGGCATTGTCTGTATAATAAGTACTCTAGACATAATGAAGTACCCGATTATATTAAAAGTAACAAAGATGAATCACTTAAACAACTTAAATGTAAAACGAATGGCATTGAAAATATTAATACCAAAAGAAAAGAAAGCAAGGGCATAATAATAATACCTAGTCCCTCAACAGCTTCATATACTTCTTCGTAATCCGACTGTTGACGTTTGCTTGAATTATTTGGTGTTTTCAATATCTTGCCGTAAATATCATCGTTCACTTTATAATGAGTTCTCGATAGTCTTGACATATTTACTTTAAATGAAAAATCACTTGTCTGTTATCCAAAATCGTTGAGTATTCAAGAACGTCCGCGAGAGAGACTAACCTCGAGCAATTCGCGAGAAACGCCGTAAAAAAAACAAGTCTCACTCAAGGGCGGAGGAAGGGATTCTAAATTTAAATATATTTTATATCCTTTGAACAGGAAAGGCGCGCGCGGCGCTCTTATGGACTAATACAGTACTGATTCGCCTGTGGCAAGCGCACATAGCAAAAATCGCGCACAACTCAACGCATTATTCACATAAATATTTGTAATTCTTAAAACGTATTGGCGTTGAAGCGCTTAATGTACTTACACAGCATAAATAAACAATTTACACCAATTACTATGCGTATACAAATAAAACGTGAAATTGTCGGATTTTAAAAAGATCTGAATGCATATTATATACTTATATACCCCAGTTATATAACATTCTGATTATTTAAATAAAATAATACAAGTATAAACGCATTACACTGAATATGACAAGAAATATTAAACAGCGCTTAAATCGCTTTCTTCAGAGGAACATCCTAAGCGTCATCCGATGACGGCGAAGTTAAGGAATTTGTCTTGCTTGCTTTCTCATTCGCGTTCAATTACGAAATTAAGTTAAACGCTCACAGAGACTTTGGTATTTAATAGATGGAAGCAGCGCTTTTTGTTTAACGAACAATTTTATTATTCATTAATGAAATTGTCCGTTTAGCAAAAAAGCGCTGCTCCACGGGTGGCGCCTCAATACTGCATCTGCATTATACGTATATAGTGATCGTTTGTTATATGTAATTTGTCTATTTTGCTCTACCATTAAGTATCGCAATGTCACAATTATGTGTTAATAAAAACAATTGAAGAGGATTTAATGTTTCTGATTGATTATTTATAATGTGAACTAAATCATAGAATATATAGCATACTTTATTATTATATACATAAAGCATCGAGTCTTTAAAACGAGTCAACTTTTTATCAGCTAATTGTCAAATTTGCTGACTTGTTTTTTTGTGTGTTCTATATACTTACGCATACGATGTATCTTGACATATTATTTAATAAATAAAATGAGTATTTACATATTAAAAAGATACAGAAATTATAAGATAAAATAAATATAAAAGTTATAAAGGAATCACTCATAATTATTTATAACGCAAAATTGTATAAAAAAGTTGACTTGCTTTTCTCGAAGCATTTGTATGGAGATACTCTATCTATATAATCTAAGATTGCATATAAGTCCACCGTTACAATATTTGTACCTACTTCATATTTTGCTTTGAAAAGTTTCAAATTCTTTTTTGCCATCAAAATTCAAATGTTTAGTGACAGCTTATTTAGTATATTATAGTATGATTAACATTTTAGTTCATAGGCAGCAACATAAACATTTTTTTTAATATATATATATATATATATATATATATATATATATATATATATATATATATATATATATATATATTCTTTATTGCACTAAAACATACAGTAACAACAATAAGTTAATATATATTTGAAAGATACAATATTAATACATATATATAAATATAAACCTAAATGTTAAATACATGGCCCGTCAAAAATATTGAAAGTTCCTTAACTGTTTTTGAAAATTGACAGATAATAGGGAAGTTACCAAACTTTGTCAAATTAAATTTAAAAACGCTCTTAAATTCATCATCATGATGCCTGATGTCACATACATCAGGTAGTAAATATCACAGGTATACAATTTTTCCAAATTGTTTTTGGTATCTTTGTTTAAACCACTAATACAAGGTTAATATTGCTTTAACATAGTGAAAACTATTTCAATGAGTGTTTTTATTTCAAGCTTAAATATATATTTAACATTTTCTTTTATTCCTAATATAATTTCGATACGATTTGTAGTAAATTAATGATTTCTTATAAAAAACATATAAGACGCCTGCCGATTGTATGTCAGCAATATCACAGCGCAGTGACTAATTAATTTGTTTATTATGGCAGGAGTTGAATACTAAACGGAGTCAAGGTTGAAAATCCGAGAAACAATAACACCTAATTATAATGACCATGATTGCTCGTAAACTATATTACCTTTTACCTATGCAGTTAATAATAATTGTTACGAATTATTTTTTTAGATTCTCTTATATCCGGTTTTGCATTATTTCTAATAATTCGCTGTGTAATGATTGGAAACGCAATTAGAATAATAAAAAGTAGTGGCGAGACTTCACAAGACTATGATATCGTAAGAGATGATTAGGGGAACACAGTATAGCAAACAATGGACGCTGGAACCTTACATAATAATACGATAATTTTCCTAAATTTTATATAAGTATACTGGATTTTTTTTATAAGATGAAAATGGAATGGTAACCTCGCCTGCGCTAACGGAATACGCTGACGGGGCACCAGTGAAGGGTGATCGATAGAGCTAGTGAAGGGTGATCGATGGGGCTGAAAACAAGCCAGTTAGCCCATCATGATGAATTCATCAGGAAGTAATCATGATAGTTTCCAGAGGAAACCGCGAGGAGAGGTTGACCTGGTTGGGTATATTGCTAGCAATGGGATTCTCAGTCTCCATTACTAACAATCCCTTTCCCCCCAGTATACTGGATTAGGGGGCGAAACATTTTTTTTTTCTACAGGGAGTGATGGCCTTGAAAAGATTGGGTATATATGATAATAGAAGGCGGTGCCAATTTCATGACGTTTGTACGTGTCATTGAGGCGCCGAGGGGTAACAAATAAACTCACTTTCACATAGATAACATGAATATTAGGTTATCCTAATATGCGTATACAAGAAAGAAAGAAATCAGTAAATAACATCTTATAAGGAAACAATTAGAAACATCTAGTATTCCAAATTTATTTTTAGAAAAACTATTAATAGGATTTGCTATCAGCGGTGGGGGAAAATACTAAAATAAATGCTAGTAAAATTAGACAATAAATTATGTTGTTAGGACGTGAGTGATATGTAAACTGGATGTTTTATTAATGCTTTATAAACTAAGCATAAAAAAGAAGTTCTATGTCTCCAATTGTTTCTTTTTTTTTTTACTAGTTTATTTTCAAAAATGAAAAAAAAAAACATTAGGTTTTGCGCTTTTTATATAAGTAGGGATTTTACTAGCATAACAAGATTATTAGATTAAAAAAAAATTACAAATTTTCAATTGTTAATTTTGGATGGATATCCATTGGAGCGATAGCTCTAACAATGGTCTCGGTATTACATATAAGGTGCGGGTTCAATTCCTGTTCCCTTCGAAATTGTTCAATCAGTAAATAATTATTCGAATATTCATTACTTTAATAACATTTCAATTTTTAAATGCTCTTAGAAGTAATGAGTAAAATTACCTACTGGCTAGAATTACTGGTAAGTGGTGACTGTAAACAATACATTACTGCAATATTTTGCGGTTAGAGCCAGCAAGGTTATCTGTGAGGTGACACTTCGCTCCAATGATACGCAATAATTACTTCTGTAGTTGAACTCAGTTCAAATACATACTTAGAAATTGATCGAGCAAATTATAAAATAGCCTAATTATATATTGTTATCTAAGGATTAACTAAAACTGTGTTTCTGGCACACTTTTTTTAATATCGCAACGTTATCAATCTTACTAAATACGAGTAGTATCAGAAAACATAAAATAAGACCATGAGATTTCACATACACCCTTTTTTTCTATCTGAGGAATAAGACTAACAATCTCTAAAGCTAACATGTATGTATGAGACGAGCTGTAAGAGAATTGGCTTGCCCCAAAAGTGAGCTGACATGAAAATAGATAAATGGGCCTCTTTTCATGACCTTTTTGCTATTCTAAACGGATTTTACGATTCTATTTTTAACATAATCAACATAGGTGGGTAACCTTGTACCTGTTGAAATGGCTGGGAATCAAACGTTTTTAACTTCCCCATAGTCTTCGTTGTCAACATTTATTTTACGATACAATGAATACAGTATCATTTATCTAAAACATTAAGTAAACTGAAATTATCTAAGCTATAATTAAACAGTTTTTTTTTCAGTATTTCATCGCATATGCTTCGGTGAGAAGGTCTGGAGCATAAGAATTGAAATGTGACGGAAAGCTATGAAGGAAACTACTAACAAAATTAATCGCCATTAAATAACAAATAAACATTTTTTAGCCTTTTGTATCATTTCTTATTACAGTTAAATATATTTACTATTTTATAAATGGTGCAATAAAGTGTAAATAAATAAATAAACATTAAGAATACAAGTAGACATAGAATACAGAGCGCCTCTTTGTAAGATTAAAAATCTAAATGCTGCCCATATTACATTAAGCTTATTATCAAACAAAAAGCATTACACTACCATTACACTTGATTACGTAACATTTGTTTACGGACTGCTCTGGCAAATGCTCCACTAACACGAAACCAATATAGCGCAAGGCCACACAATAAAAACCACTTGACTCATATGAGGATCACAACTCCTGACGCTACTTACCAAGGTATGCGCTGAAGTCCGTGAAGTACCTTCTCCAATCAGTGGAGCTCAGCTCCGGAGGATTCGAAGGTCCCCTTTCAGCACTGTATTTACGTTCTAGAACAGGTGAGAACGACACCGTTTTGGGGGATGCGGAGCGCGTGCGCACGGACGCCATCCCTCACACACTGGGGTATAAAAGGCGCAGCGGGTCAAATTCGCGGGCAGTCGTGGTTGTACCACGGCTGGGTGAAGACTGGTTATTTTCGGAGACGTGAGTTATCTGCGGCGCGAGCGACGCCGGGTGATAGCGCGGTCACACTGGGGCAAGCGGCTGAGTTACGCGACGTGCTATTCCCGTCAGGTGGTCATTTCCGCTGTTGTTTCCCAATAGATCGCGAACTGACTTCATTAACCTCATTACGCACATTGTGACAGTTGTAGGAAAAAATAAGACGCAGGTGTTCGACGTATGATCAAGTAGTAGTAGTCTGCATCTTAGATAACTCTAAAAATAACTGAGATTGTGAGGTGCGTACCACAACCAGCGTTCACGGTCAAAGATTTTAAACAAATCACATTTCCTCATTTACCAAAGTGGTTATTGAATGCAAATTTACTCAATTCACACTATCGATTAGTTACTAAATTAATGCGATTTATCTTACCTATTAACAATATAGGAGATAATCAATGGTTAAGTCGAGAGCTTAAAATAGAAAATACTGCGGCTATCTGATTGGCATATTGTTAGCTTATAAGATATTGTATGTACGAGGTTTGTCCGGAAAGTACGTATAAAAGTTTTTTAAAAATTTTATTTTACAATTATTCAGGTAAATCAATTTTATCCCCTTCAAAGTACTCCCCCTGTGACATAATGCACTTGTGCCAACGCCGTTTCCACTGTGAGAAGGCTCCTTGAAAGTCCTCTGGTTGTAGGTTTCTCAGCTGCCCCGTCGTAGCTTTTTTTATCTCATTTATGTCCCCCAAATGCCGCCCCCGAAGTACCAATTTGGTTTTTGGGAACAAGAAGAAGTCACACGGGGCCAAATCCGGCGAATATCACCGTAATGGAATTTTTACTCAAAAACTCACGGACAACAAGAGAGGTGTGGGCAGGGGCATTGTCGTGGTGAAGAATCCAACGCCCCTCTCGCGCCAATTCTGGACGAACTCGTGCCACACGAGCTTTGAGCACATCGACGTAGAATTTTCCATCAACTGTCTGGCCTGGAGGGACGAATTCTTGATGGACAATCCCCCGAACATCGAAAAAAACAATCAACTTGAACGCTTTCTCGGCCCTCTCTGAATCTTTTTAGCCACTTGTGGACGGTTGGTTCCTTCACAGCATCATCCCCATAAACTGTTCTGAGATCGGCAAAAATTTCACGGCCATTCTTGCCGAGTTTCGAGAGAAACTTGATTACGACGCGCTGCTCTTCAACGGAAGCGGGCTCCATGCCGACGGGGTTTCGTTAAGAGGTAACTTCACAGATGGCGTGACAAGCCAGTTCGCACCGCACGGCGGTCAGACCAGAACTGAAGCATTGTTAGGGACATAAGGAAGGGGTCCTGTGCTTACCTGGCCTCCCCACTCCTCTTTCTCGCATTCCAGAACACTTTTATACGAACTTTCCGGACAGACCTCGTAGTGTGGTCCCGACATAGAAAGACATAATATGATGAAAATGTTGTATGCAGGCGACGCCAGTATATTTATATTTCGTCGATTTAGTTAATTAGTTTTTATAGGAATGTAGAAATTATTTTTTAAACTATTTTAAATAGCAATCAAATTGGCAACCTATCTTCGTCACAATAAATCATTAATATAGCAATGGGTTTTTTGAGTCTACCCTCTCAAGAGGAAGATGTTAGCATAAGAATATAATATTTACTTAGTTTATTTATTCTAAGCCACTTGATCTATAGTTTTGTCATGAGATTCCCTATTTTTGGACTAATACATTAATTACTAGTTCTTACCCGCGACTTTGGGTCCCAGGTGACTGGGACATGACCACTGATAAAAAGTAGTCTATGTCTTTCTTCATCCCATATAGTACTTGTATTACAAAATTTTATAGTGGGGGGAAGGGATTGTTAGTAATGCGGATTGGATTACCAGTCTCATTACTAGCAATATACCCTTATCAGGTCAACTTCCACATGGTCCTCCCTAGAAACCATTGTGTTGAAATTCAGGTGTAATAGTCACGATGGACTAACTGATCTGGCCTTTCATTCTTACCTATCATCCCTCACTCGTATACTGTTAACGCAGGCATTATTGCTTCATTATGATCCATTAAAAAAGACCAAGAGGTATGAAACAAACAAACATTCGCATTTATGATATTCATAAGAATTATTTTCCTAATCGTCTCTTCTGGGGGGAAAGAGATTGTTAGTAATGGAGATTGAGAATCCCATTGTTAACAATATACCCAACCAGATCAACCTACCCGCGTTTCCCCCTGAAAACTATCATGGTTAATTCCTGATGGATTCATCATGATGGACTAACTGGCCTGTTTTCATTCTCATCTATCACCCTTCACTGATGCTCCGCCAGCGTATCCCGTTAGCGCAGGCGGGATTACCATTCCATTTTCACCCATAAAAAAAAAATCGTCATGCCCCGATATAAAGATGAAAAGTAATGATGACTCATTGTATTCTTTCGGCCCACCTGATGGAAAACGGTGATCGACGTAACCGTAGCCTACACACATTAGGAACGCTACAACCATCACATTCACTATGACGCACGTGACACAACTAGTGCGTTGCCAAGGCTACAAAGGTGGTAAGAATATGAATGGTTATTGACGCCGTGTACATTATTGTTGGCAATCGAGACATCGCGTACGGATAGCAGAGCAAGAAACAATGGCGACCCTGTCGTCGGGCCCCAGTGATGGCGAGATGTTCAAATTACAGCAACAATGATGTTGTAGCGTCCCTTTTATAACATTATAAATAACGTTATGTGTATGTAAATACACTAGAGACAAAAATTAAGGGATATACAGAAAAAAAAATCCAAATTTTTGGGTAATTTTCAACGAGCTATTTTTTAGACTGCTGTCTTACTGCCGGCATTAGTATTACCCAAAACGTACCACGAAAAAAAAAATTTATTTTTAAATTTCTTAAAAATCAATCTCTTTGAACGATCTTTATACCAAATTTTTAGTAATTGGTTAAGCCATTAAAACGCTACAAGATCACATTCACATTTAGAACATTAGAATAAATCGTAATTGGGTATTATTTGAGCAGGAAGAAGAACCTTTTAAGACAGATCACTTTTAAATTCGGGATCGAGACTACCCGAATGCGAAAGTTTAAAATGGTGTCGTTAATTCTACTGTTAGTAAAAAATACTTCATTATCATCATCATTATATCAACCGTTGACTGTTAACTGCTTAATATAGGCCATCTCCATAAGGAAAGTTTTGCCAGTAGTTGCCAAATTGGCAGGTGGATTAGCAACCGCAGTTGAGCTTTGGCGATGTTTTAAGAGGAACGCTGCTGCCTATCCCTGGACTATTAGGTTCCCTTATTCGTTTCTTACGACACCCACTGGTAAGGAAGGGATGGCCCATTCTATGCAAACAAAACAAAACAAATTACATAAACCAAGTGTTAATGATGTATAGAACCCACACATGTTAATAAACATGTTGGACCAAACGTTGGGCCAGACACCTGCCCGTCCGTTACATAAGCGGCGCGGGCGTGGGCGGGCGGCGCCCTACAGCCCAACTAGTTGTATTATTATATAGTCGCGCGGTTTTAAAAAATAGCCTATTTGTTGACAGGCATTCTCATTTTGATTTTTACTTTTCTATGGTTAAATTTAGTGTAAACGTAATTATTCTGATGTATTTATATATGTATGATTCACCATCCAAACGTATGTAAGTATATATTTTTTATATAATGGAAATGTAAGATTTTTGCGCATACTGGTAACGGAAGGCAGACTAAGGCAGACTACCAGTCCTATTGCTAGCAATATACCCTGTTTCGTCGACCTCCACGTGGCACTGCGTTATGGTTTATTGTGGGGAAAAAACCAAAGTTTGTTATTGACCCACACCGGTTTACTACTGATTCGTTTTTCTCTTATGTATAAATAAAACAGAGTATCCAATGATTTTAGAAAATTGAGTTATATATAACTAGTGTTTACCCTCGTCTTCGTCCGCGTGACCACGACCGCATAAACCTTTATAACCGCATAAAACCCATGTATCTTTTAAGGATAAAAAAGCCTACATTGGCTTTTTACATACGAGTACTATTACATTTAATTATTTTATTACATTTAATTACAGGGTACAGAGGCATAACATCTTAGTCCTCAGGAATGATAATGCATGAAGGGTATCATGGACAACTATCTACTGTGTTCTGTCTAATATTTCATCAGTTGAGTCGTTTGTTTGCTATTCTAAGTTGCATGAAAAAAAGCAAAAAAAATATGTTGCAGTTTTTCTATCTACACTTACTAACATCACTTGTAATATATTTATATATATATATATATATATATATATATATATATATATATATATATATATATAACGTTGATATCATATGGTCATTGATTTTTTATTGATTAAAGAAAAACCTAGCTACGTCTTATATATAAGTAGTTAAATTGTACAAAATGTTT